CCCCCCCCGCCCCCCATCTACACTATGTACAGTTAGTTACACAGTGTCATAAGTAGTGTATAGTGAGTGTACGGGTTTAACACCCCCCCACACGCATCTACACTACAGCTATTAAAACAGTGTCATTAGTAATGTTTAGTGAGTTTTTTTGTATAGTTTTAGTAAGTGTTTTACGGCACTTGCAACACAATAAGGTCATATAAGTGCCGAAGATTAGAGGTGTTACAAGAGAGTAACGAACACAAAATAGAAGGAGGGGAGATCAGGACGATAGATGTTTGATAGGAAAGAAGGAGCAAACCACAGCAGAACATCCGCCACCCACCCACAATGACAGTTAAGAATCACATTGCATAGAACTTGATGCAGAGCATGGATAAACGTTATAAATAAATACAACTATCATCATTCATTATCATTACTATTATTATTTTATTACCATTCATAATTACCATTACGATTATTATTATTATTATTATTTTTATAGGTGAGGGAGAGTGCTGAAATCAGGCGCTCGTCAAAAAATTGTAATTAAAGAAATCCGCATTTTTCTGGCCGTAGTGAAATTTTTTTCGAATTCTTTTTTTTTCAGTCAATATTTTCTATGTCCATTTCAGAACACATTTCTGTGTGAATTTTACAGAAAACAGCTGAAGGCACAACAAATAAACATTTGCTATTTCCAACGACGCTCAAACTTTAGAAGTCACAAAAATTTGATTTTCACAGTCACAAAAATTTGATTTCACACTAATTTTACCTGTGACCCCAGGCGACCCCCACCTCCTTTAATCGCAAATATCTTGACTTTTGCTCAAGATAGACGGTATTTGTTTTAGCCAAATGCAAGACAAATGAACAAACTTTAAGACGACACAAATAACTCCATATGCCCAAAAATTGACGAGCGCCTGATTCACCACATTGCGACACATATTATTTTATTTTCATCATAAAATTATTATTATTATTATTATCATTAATATTATTATTATCATCATCATTATTTTTTATGAAATGTAGAGCCAGTTGGCTTTTATCACAGTAATGGCTGAATTTAAGACAGGGTGGCCAGGGAAATTTTCCTCCTAAAAATCCTACCACACCAAAAAAAATCCTACCACTATAAGTCAAGTTGTTTCTTGCCATTGTCAGTGTTAGGCTCTCGTCAAAGAGAATCACGTAGAAGGAGCTATTTCGTACACATCTTAGGATAGCCGACTACATCACTGGGGCAATCCCAATTAATATTCCAAGGTAGCCACGTTTTGTGCAACTACACTGAAATCTCAGCTATTTTTCAGCCTGAAAACATCTCATGAATGAGAAGACTCGTGTCAACAACTGCTCTAGTTGATCACTATTACATTACTGTTGGTCCTTCCTTTCAGTATCTCTCACATCTCATGAATGAGAAGACTCGTGTCAACAACTGCTCTAGTAGATTACTATTATATTACTGTTGGTCCTTCCTTTCAGTATCTCTCACATCTCATGAATGAGAAGACCCGTGTCAACAACTGCTCTAGTAGATCACTATTATATTACTGTTGGTCCTTCCTTTCAGTATCTCTCACATTACTTGCTCTGTTCTTGGTTACCTTAACAATAGACTTGGCACCACACTGGCTGCTTTGGGCTTTCATGTAATCATGTATTTTTGAGCTACCATGTGAGTGTTCAAAGCTTTTACACCTGAATGACCCATGACAAATACTTGGGAACAAAATTTTCATCTAAACTTGCTTTTATCATTTGGATACTCCATCAATCATTCTGAATACTTAGGGTTGGACAACTACTCAGTGTTGATGAAGTAGCACTTTCCCATGATGCTGGATCTAGTCTAGATCTCTCTCTCTCTCTCTAATTATAGTCTACACATATATAGTCACAAAAATCATAAGAAAAATAGGTCTGTTTCCAGCCTGGGTTTCAGTATGCCAAGGGCCGTCAATCTTCTACTCTCCAAAGACTATCTTCCTGAGTTTTTCCATGGTCAAACGACTATCACCCATCCAATGACACGCCAACCCTTTAGTTCAATAACAAAGCTAACAAGGTATGACGGATCCCGATTCCACTCAAGTCCTGCACAACACACGCTATGCAGAAAGCTCTCGTTGCAATCAAAATTCTAAATGCTAATGCTAAAATTTGCTACCAAGTTCAGTTTTCTTCCCCTGGTGTATCTTTTTAAAAAAATTAATAATCCCGCCATCCCGGAGTCCTATACTTCGCAACGCTCAGACTTAGAATGAACTTTAGTGACCCCAACATTCGCAGTACTCACTCGACGCCCTATCATCATGTGTGTGACATACAAACGCGCAGGTTCAGTGACCGGTCACGACGGCGAGCCCGACAAGTGACATACAAACGCGTAGGTTCAGTGACCGGTCAGGACGGCGAGCCCGACAAGACGCTTGTACAACTTTCTTTTCTTTTTACACAAGTGACAAATATTGATTGATTTTCACAGCGACTCAGCCTTTGTAATGTACAAACTGCATGTTCCAACAATGTATTTCATAGCGACACAGCCTTTGTAATGCACAAACTGCATGTTCCAACAATGTACTTCATAGCGACACAGCCTTTGTAATGCACAAACTGCATGTTCCAACAATGTATTTCATAGCGACACAGCCTTTGTAATGCACAAACTGCATGTTCCAACAATGTATTTCATAGCGACACAGCCTTTGTAATGCACAAACTGCATGTTCCAACAATGTATTTCACAGCGACACAGCCTTTGTAATGCACAAACTGCATGTTCCAACAATGTATTTCATAGCGACACAGCCTTTGTAATGCACAAACTGCATGTTCCAACAATGTATTTCATAGCGACACAGCCTTTGTAATGCACAAACTGCATGTTCCAACAATGTATTTCATAGCGACACAGCCTTTGTAATGCACAAACTGCATGTTACAACAATGTATTTCATAGCAACACAGCCTTTGTAATGCACAAACTGCATGTTAC